CCGGAAGCGTGAACAATTGGAGGATGCCCTCCCCACGACAAAAGTCCCGCATGAGGTGGGGGGAGAACATACCACCTGTGTCAGAGTGCAGACGCAGAACAGGAAGGTCCTAGTGGAACCGCTCGCGATGCTGAAGACGGACAGGGCGGATCCAAGGGATCAATACATCAGGGACCTCCCCCTTGCTGCGCAAGGGGAAGACCGTGGTGTAACGCGAGTAGTCGTCAACAACCAGCAGAAAGTGCAGCTCGCGGTCCTGTCCAATGACGCGGGCGGGGCCCCACACGTCCAAATGTTTAAGGAGGACAAATGTCAAAGGTGGGGTGCCTATAGAGAGGGGAATTGTGTGGTATGGGGTTTCTTTGGTTAGGGACTCCCTTGGAACCATCCCTCTCGTCCTCCTCATCCCCTCCTACCTGGTTTATTGCTACTCTAACATTCTTGTGTGGTACTTGTGAGACTATGTGGTTGAGTTAAGATTCCATGGCAGCATACCCCCTAGTGCGCCGAAATACATAACTCAAACAATACTTCATCTTTTCGTACGATTCAAATTGGGAACTGTAGCCACGGACTAGAGCTACAACATATCCGAAAATGGTGAAGTTTTACCAGTGCAATATTCGTCGACGGTAATTCTTGTGAAGTCGACAATTCTGTCCAGAATTTGAAGCCAACGATTTTGAGATGTGTCGGCCCCTAAACATTCTAGACCCCATCCTTAGTCCCTAACAAGTGGTATCAGAGCTTTTGAAGGACGTTGTGAAGAGACTACTGAGGTGTGAAGACGGGACGTAGAGCACGTCGGGGATGAGGACCTGCTTCCCGGCCTCCCCTTGCAGAGCGACGGTGCCTCGGCCCTCGACGGTCTGCAGAGCCCCGTTGAAGCCACGCACATGCTTCACATCGCCACTCGGCGCCATGTCGACAAAGGCATCCTTCGTCTCCATGAGGTGGTGCGAGCAACCGCTGTCGAGCAGAACCACCATTGGATTCGCCTGCACGGCGGCCATGACCGCCTTGAAGTCCTCCTCGGCTTCCGGCGCAAGCGAAACTGTCGGCTCCACCACACCGACCATCGAGCACGACGCCTTCCCGTCGCCTCGACCCTTCCCACTGGAGTTGTCGACGTCCTTCATCGATAATGTCTTCTTCGACGCCTGCTTCTCCTTGCGCGGCTTGTCATCTTGTTGGGGGCGACGACTGGCCGACCGTCTGCGGCCTCCCTTGTTGTCATCCTCGTTGCTGTCGTCACGGTCGGGGCACTCGAAGGAGAGATGGTCGGGGTCGCCGCAGATCCAGCACTCCCGCCGTCGACCACCGCTTCTACGGCCCTTCTCCCGCGTTGACTTCTTCTCGACAACGTCATTCATCAACCGCCCACTTCCGCTACCACCTCTGCTCGACTTCCCGCGCTGCCCTGGCTGACGATTCTGCTTCGTCGGTGCAGCGTAGCTCGCCTGCGGAAGGAGCTCCGTGCCTCCTGCATCGCCTCATCTCGAATGGCGTAGCTGGTGAGGGAATCCACGCCGAGCGACTCGCGCGTACCGGGCACAACCATCATCCTCTTCATGAGATTGTAGCTGCTCGGCAGCCCCTTGACGACGTGAGTGATGTACGAAGCCGTCGAGTAGGTGACGCCAACCATCCGCATCTCGGTGAGGATCCATCGAGCACGGTTGCAGTAGTCCGTCGCCGACTCCTGCTCGCCCATCCGAAGGTGAGTCATCTGCTCCTCAAGCTGCCCAATGTACAGGTCGTCCGTCGCCTGGTACGTCGACAGGATGAAGTGTCACGCTTGGTGACCAGCATCCAGCCGCTCTCGACATGATCTGAGCGCTAACAGCACCACCGGCGAGCAGCACCTCGAGATGACCATGAAGGTGAGCAGGTGAGCAGCACGAAACTCCCCGCGCAGCTCGACCTCTTCCTCAGGCGGTATCGGCACGGTACCGTCGGCGAAGCCCTTCAGCCCGGCAACCCCCAGTTGAGGCTCAATTGCCTCCTTCCACGTGATAAGGTCCCGTCGACCTTGCAGCGGTGCGACGGTGACTTGTCCAGCGAGAACTTGAAGTAGCCATACGCCGGCGCAATCCCGCCCGCCGTCACATGCGTCGTCGCCGAGAGCCCTCCACCACTCCGTAGAGGAGAGCGACGTCGTTCGTCGACGTCGGAACGCGAGCTGCCTGCAGCCGCCGTCGACCGCTGCACTCGTGCCTGGCTCCTGTCGACGCCACCGTCGACCTTGATCACCCCTCTCTGCTTCGTGCCTTCGATGCTGCTGACTCGTGCACCGCCGTCGACCTCCTCATCGACAACGCGTGCGTTTCGCACCGGTCGAGGAGATGCAGGACGGGAAGGGTGTTCCGTCGCCCACTGCGCCCGGATGCCCAACTCGACGACCTCCAACGAGAGGGTCGTCCCGTACTCGCCAGCCTTGTGGCGTCTCCTCGCATCAGCTAGTCGTGTCCCCAGGGTGTCCTCTACGCCCGCTTCAACTACGGGGTCAACCATGGTGACTAACGGCTGCCAGCCTACGAACGACTTACCGTCATACCCCGGATATACCCCCATGGGGGGCAATAATAAAACAGGTTTTTTTAGGGGGGGTGGGCTCATAATCGAGTAAATTTATAAGCGCCGGCGTTTATAAAACGACATATATATTTTATATATTTTTTAACACCAAGCTGTAGATCTCGTGCTTGCCTTTTTCAATCGAGTCGAAGTTACATGGGGTCGTCTGTGAAATTCTTGCGCGCGCTGGAGATACACCCACTCTTAGAGCTCCTGACAGCTTCTGACAGCTTCTGACAGCTCCTGACTGGACCCGCATCCAGTGCAGGGTCCGAATGTGAAGGGAAGTGAATCTGCAACACATCCCCCTGCTAAAGTAAATATCGTTACAGTGTTTCGAACACATTTCAAAATTTAAAGTTTACGTGCGCTTATAATAAAACAAGTTTTTTCAGGGGGTGCGCTTATAATCTAGCAGCGGATATAAGCGCCATGCGCCAATTAAAAGCGCCAGGCGCTTATCCGAGGGTGGCGCTTATATCCGGGGTATGACGGTAGTAGGTGCAAAAGTCGGCTCCTATCTGAAGGTCGCGTGTTCGATCCACGCTCACCGCACCATGCGGAGAATTCTAATCTAAGGGAGAGCCTGCTAGCGTGGAGCGCACGGACAGAGCTCTGGTAATGATTCTTGGAAATGTGCTTCGATGTCTTGGTAGAACTCAAGAATAGTTTCACTAGGAAAATTGATAGAACAAGAATATGGCACAAGCAAAGAGAACCAAATATTCAAGGAAAGGAACCTCTACAACGACTAAGCTGGTGCCTAGCTTAGTCAGCAACGGCAGGTGAAATCATATGCACATGCAACTGTCACCTAACTTGGCAGTTGCCCAGGTTTTAAAACAATGACAGTTGTATACGTTTTTACTGTTAGTAAAAACGTGTTTCAGGTTCAGTTTCCTTACTGATTCGAATTCTCCTGGGGAGTACAATTTCCGAGTGCTTCTGATTGGTCGAAATTCCCTCTCTAGCAATTGGGCGAAATTCGTGCATATTCAAATTTTGCACGACAGGATTATCTGGTCGACAAGTAAAGCTCTGCTCGGCGATGCTCGCATTGAGCTTTTTTCCGTCGACCAATACTCTGTCGAAATCACGACTTCGTCAATTTTGTCGACCAGCGACTCGCGTCTTCGACGCCAAAATATTCCCGCCGACCAGCTCCTCGTCGACGGGCAGGAACCACGCCTTGCTGGCTTTCCTACCTTATCATCTCACGATGGCCTTCGTGGCCCCAACTTTCCGCCGGTTAGGCAGCGAAACCAGTCAAACCCTAAGCCACCTAGGCAGGCTCCCTCTACTCGACTCCGTTTCGTTTCAAGGTAAGTTGCTGTTTTTCTTCTCTCTTTCTAACACTTTGCTTTTTCTCTCCCCTACACCCCACTCCGCCCCTACTCAAACAGAATTTCGTCCCCCCTTCAGTCCCCTTCTCATCTCTCTCAACCGCTGAATCTTTTCCTGCTCAACGTCTCACGGCCGGACATCCTCTCGTCTTCAGCACCCCAGGACAACTTTCCCGCCAGGTGAGTCTTGCAGAACTTCCGTTTCCTCGCCGTGATTCCTTGCACAAACCCTCGTGTTATCCTGCCAACGCAATTCTGCCACGCCACCCAATCCACCACTTGAACCCCCCCACCCCTCCTTTCGTTTCCCCTTCTCCCAAGTCCCTCGTCTGTGCAAGTTCGAAGCCCACGCCAACCGATCGCCCTCCTCCGACCAACCTCACAACAATCTCAAAGGAGAGCCTTGTCAGCCTCCACTATAGGCTGCTGACCAATCTTACCCCCGTTTCTCGTCCCTCTTGTCAGGCGGGTCCCATTCTCTCCCACGTAACGCCATCTCCAGCTCCTCGTTTTCTTCACCTCTCCCTTCCGTGCCTCCGCCTGCACGGCGCCGCTGACTTCAATTCCCTTCCCGCTTGGCGCTGCCACCCCACGTTTGGCGCCAGCTCAGCGCTGCCCCCCCACGTTTCCCCTCCCTGGCCACCTCTGGCCGCGCCACTAAAATGGCTAGGAAGCTCGGCGTGCCGCCTAGGCTGCCAGTTTCAATTTTTGCTCGCACGAGTCTGGACCCTCGTAAGGTCCCGGGTTTCGGGCAGCCGACTAGGCTCCCAGCCCCGCGTCATGGCCTTAATGGCGTCGCCACGTCCCCGTAACATCCGCAACCTCTCTGCCCTCCCCGCTTTCCCCGCTCTCCCCCTTTCCGCCTGCTCTTCGCACTCCCCTCGCCCGCGCTCTCTCTTGAGATACTTGCACTCACGTTCTCCTGCCCGTCAGGAGCCCATGCTGCCCGCCTCGCCTCTCCCCCCTTATTCCCCTCACGGGGCCTCGTTCGATCGCTCTATATATAGCTTACCTTTCGTTCCTCCCTGCACTCGCTTTACAACTTACAACCCCCCAAGCTTCTCCTACTCACTTCTCACTATGGCTGAACAGGTCTACAACCCCGACCATACCATGACTGCTGCTGAAGAGGAGACCCTCGTTGCCTCCGGGGAAGACCTTGCTGTGGACGACCTGCCCGAAGGCATGTTTCACCACCTCGCGGACCCTGTTGACCTCCCTGCTGCAAAGAAACCGTGCACGGCTTCTAACGCCAGCCCCGCCCCCAATTCCTCCCCCTCCACCTCCTCCGGTGCGGGCCCGGCGCTCCCTGCACACGCTCCCGCGTCCCTCGCTATCGCTGCCCTCACTGCGCCCTCGCTTGGCCTGGCACCGTCGCAGGCCGCAACTGCACCATCTCCCAACTGCCAGGCAGCTCGCGCAACCGCCTACGCGTCCGTCGCCTCAGGTTCCAACCTGGCGCCGGCGCTGCCTGCATCGCTCTTCGCCTCGCCCACTCCGGGCGGCGCCCCCCGCAATCTGCGGCGCGCGCGTACGGATGCTGCTGCCCCGATGCTCTTCCCCCTGCGTCGCCGCGCGGTAGTTAATGTTCTCCTCCAGGAAGCTGGGCTGGAGTCTCACCGCTCTGAAATCTTCGCAGGCATTAATTCGCAGCTTTGTGGCTTCATGTTCACATCCGGCATTGTCCCTTCCTTCGAGCAGACCATTGGAGACCCCTACCGTGTGGCACGCCGTGTCTATGGCCGCCTGCTCTTCTCATGGCCGTCGCAGGAAGATGCGGCGGCCTTTCGCAAGCTGTTTCCACTCACCCTCAAAGTCTCCAACTCCCGCCCCCTGCTGCTTAAGGTGTTTGAGGACAGGTTTGCAGCCTTCACTGCTGCCAAGGCTGCCGGCGCAACCACCCTGTCTATTCGGAACGTCCCTCTGGATTTCGATCCAGAGGATATCAGCGCGTATCTCCTCGGCTCCACCGATTCTGATGGCGCGCACTGGCTGGCGGATCTGACGGATTTCCACCGTGCTTCGGACCCCTACGAGGACATGTACTTCATGCACCTCGCTGGGCTCCCAATCGCCACCCCCGACGACCCGAATTTCGAGCGCATCCCTTCCGAAATCCCACTGGAGGAGAACAAGCCTCCCATGGTACTCAACTTCTCCAGCCACGCGTGCGCGCTGTGCGCCAACAATCATCGCGCGTCCGACCACGAGGCGTTCGCAGCCCGCCGGCGGCAGCGCCTCACAAACCGGAATGTGATCTCAGTCGCGCAGCTTCAAAAGACTAATGGTACACTCCTCGAGAATCTCTCCCAGCGATGCTACCCTCCTTTCCCCCTGCCTTACCACTCTGGTCCCCTCATGCTCCCCCTTCTGCCCTCCATCTTGACACCTTCCCCACCCTGGTCCACTTCCTCCCTGCTCCTCCAAAGCTACATCTTTTACTCACCCTGCTCTATCCCTTTGTTGTCTCATTCCCCTCTGCCATCCCAGCTATGCTACATCCTTTTTCCCCTTCCTTACTGCCCTGTTTCCCTCGTGCTCCTCCTTCCGCTCTCCATTTCGACATCTCCCCCCTCCCGGTACAATACCTCCTCGCTCTCCCAGAGCCACTGTTATCACCCTCGCTGCTCTGCCCCATTGGTGCCTCATCCCCATCTGCCCCCCCAGCTATGCTACCTCACCTTCCCCTTGCCTCACCGCCCCGATCCCCTCGTGCTGCCCCCTCTGTTAGTCATTTTGACATCTCCCCCCCCTGCTGCACCACCCCCCCGCTCTTCCAGAGCTACAGCCCTCACCCATTTTGCTTTGTCCCATTGTCGCCTCATCCCCTATGTCCCCTCTGCTATGCTACCTCACCTTCCCCTTGCCTTACCGCTCTGGCCCCCTCGTGCTCCCCCTTCTGCTATCCATTTTGACACCCCTTCCCCCCTGGCACATTATCTTCCCGCTTCTCCAGAGCTACAGCCCTCACCCACGCTGCTCTGTCTCATCTCTACCTCATCCCCCTCTGCCCTCCCAGCTATGCTACTTCACCATCTCCCCGCCTTACCTCTCTGGTCCCCTCGTGCTCCCCCTTCCGCTATCCACTTTGACATCTCCCCCCCCTTGCTACACTACCCCCCCGCTCTTCCAGCAGTACAGTTCTCACCCACGCTGCTCTGCCCCTTTGCTGCCACCCCTCCCTCCTCTGACCACCCAGCTGCCGGGCCGCCACGATCACCGATGCCCGATTCCCCCCCATCACTCTACCCCTGCCTCCCCTCCGCCCCGCAGCCAACGCGCTCCCATGGAATCCCCCCCCCGCAACCCCATTTCTACCCCCCCCTATGCCCACCGTCTCATCCCCCCCTGCCCCCCCCAGCGGTCGGACCCCTGCACTCCCACAAGCTTACCCCAACCCCTCACCCTCCCCGCCCTTGCCTCTCTCTACAGCCCACTCACAGCCCCTCCCCCCCCCCCACCTCATCCAGTCCAACCCCACCCCTTGGGGCTCACCCCCCCTTCTCTCGCCCGAATTCTGCCCCTCCTCGCCGCACAGCACTCACCTTTCCCTTCTTTCTCCCCACCCTCGCCCCTCCCCGCCAACAGCCCCCCTATGAAACCCTCCTCTGTCTGCTCCCCCTCCCCCCGACTGCACTCTCCTCAACCCCCTCCCCCTCAGCCCTCAGCTATTCCCGCCCCCCTTGTGGTTGGGCTCTTATCCCACCCTGCTCCCCTTCTGGCTCCCCCCCCCCCTTCTTTGAACTTCCTCCTCCACGCAGGCAAAATCCTTGGAAACCACGCCGCGCCTACCACCTTGAGCAACGATCCTGGCCTTATCTACATCGGGCTCGACGAAAAGGTCGAGCCCTGGACATGTGCGCTCTGCGATTTCACCTGTGGCGCTGCCCTCGACAGCGCCATGCTCCACATTCAGTCCGAGCTGCATGCCTCGCGCGTGAAGGCTACGGCCCACCTCCCGGCAGCCAAGGAGGCCTATGGCCCCTGGCGCGCTCTCACTCTGCAGCAGAAGCCTTCGGTGGCTGCCTTCCTCCGTGGCTGAGTCCCGTGCCCTTGCATGTACGCCTTGGTAGAGGCCTCCTTGCATATTATCGGGTGCATGTCTCCCTTGCCCCCCAGTTAGAATATGGCTTTCTGGCCTGCTTGCATGCATTTGTATCCGTCATTATTATGATGCTGCTGCCCGTACCAAGGCCGACCTTTACCACCCTTTTCAAATGTAAACAATCAGCTCTAGTACGTTGTATGCACAATTCCTTGATCCAAACCTTATAGCAATATACCCACACACACCCCTCCTTTAGCCCGGCCACTTTCCTTTGCAACTGTCGGGGAAAGCCCCCCCCCAAGCCCTCGGTATACCTGTCTCTCCCTCCGTTGCACCCTTGCTTGTGGGGCTCTAGCCCCCTCCTCTCACCTTACGCTCCCGGCATCCTTCCTAGCTACACCTACCTCATAACTCGGCTATGGCGTAACTTTGGTCTTTTTCATATAAAACCTGCGCGCATTTATGGTTCACAAGCCCCTAACTCCAAACAAGCACTCCCTCGGCAGCTCTTTGAATCCCTGGACCCACCGATACGCCTTAACTCGCCGATACACCACCTAATGTCGCCTCGGCACCACGAACCACACCAAATCCGGCATGTCTCCGACCTCACCCCCACCCCTTCCACTCACCAGCAAAAACATGTGCTTAGGCCGTGGATACGCACTTTCTCCCGTGCGGTGGCCTTCACGTCGCTGCCATGTTAACGCACCTCCGAATCCTATGCATCAATGTGAACGGAATCAATGAGACTCGCAAAATGGATGAGCTCAAGTCCTGGCTCTCGCGCCTTCCCGCCCCCATTGACCTGATAATCCTCGTTGACACTCGACTCATCCTCAGAATTCCCAACATCGATTTCAAATTCCGACCACACTCTTCCGCTCACGCTCCGGCGCTGCTCTCGACTGATAACGCTACCGGCAGGCCCACTCTCATCGGAGGCATATCCGTCCTCTCATTCAACAGGGCCATCTCAATGTCCTCCCCGCTCCCTTCTGCAGACGGCAGGCTTATCACTGTACACCTCAATTATCTCCGCGAGCAAATTCGACTTATCGCATTATATGCGCCCACACAATTCTACGAGCGTCGAACTTGGTGGTCCACCACGCTCGTTCCGGCACTGGAAACTCCCACCGCTGCCTCCGCGACCATGCTCGTTGGAGACTTCAACTCGGTCACCCTTCCCATTGACAGGAACCGGCCCCTCAAAGATTACGAAGGCCGTGAAGGAGCTTCCTTCGCCAAACTCATGGATTCTCACTCGCTGGTCGATACATTCCGAGAACTTTTTCCCACACCTGCCAACGTCTTCTCCTTCTATGGCAGGCAACGCCTGAACTCAGCGTCCCCGCCGACCTCTTCCCGTCTAGACAGAATTTATATCTCCCGAGCCTTCCTCCCCCGTCTCACTGCTAGCCCATACATTCAAACCCGCACGTCAATCACAGATCATTTGTATGCCCCTCTCTGCTCGCTCTGTTTCACCAACCCCACTGTTGCCCCCCGGCCCTGGCGACTCCGCCAACATCTACTTATGCGACCCCATGCCGCACAAATCGTCGATGCCGCCCTTACAGCCTTCCCCTCCTCCCCTTCCCCGGAATCCTGGGACAGATGGAAGCTCGACCTCACCCTTAGCTTTAAAAGATTCTCCAACCTGGAAAGGCGTCGTGTCGATGGCACGATCGCGCACCTAGAGCGCACCATTGGCTCTCTACAATCACAAGCTGCATACACGCCCTTGGACCAGAACGATTCTTCTCGCCTCAGCAAAGCACAACTCCACTTGGCCAGATACGAAGCCTCGAAAGCCTCCGAGATTGTGCTTAAGGCCAAATTGAAAGTGGAAGGGCACAGAGAAATGGGTGTCTCCTCCCTCCTCTCCGAACTCAACTCGCGAATCAAAGGCTCGATCATCAACTCCTTGACCCTACCTAACGGGCAGACGACCTCGGACCTGGCCACCATGACTAGTATGTGCTCTAACTTCTTCCGGACACTCTATAGCGGGAGCAACCAAGTCACCCCTAACCCTTCTTTCTGGCAGCATATCCCTTCCTCATCCATCCCAAACCCCTTATTCCTCCAGCTTAGCGCTCCCCTTTCCCTATCCGAAATCGGAAAAGCACTCCTCTCTCTTTCACGAGGGAAAACCCCAGGCCCAGACGGTCTCCCAGGGGAGCTCTTTCGACAATTCTCCCCGCGCTTCGCACCGGCCTTCCACTCCCTACTCTCACCACCACAGCCACTCTCCTGCCTCCCTCCGTCCATGTTGACCGGACGAACGGTCCTTATCCCCAAAAGGGGGGATTCTTCGCTAGTGGAAAATCTCCGCCTCATTACCCTAATGAACGCGGATTACAAGGTACTCGCGCTATGCCTTGCTAACCGTCTTCAGCTCGTCCTCCCCCAACTCATCCACCCATCCCAAACTGCCTTCATCAAACACAGGAAAATCGGTGATACCATTAACGATACCTTGGACATCATGGATTGGGCGACCTATTCCTCGGCGCCCCTTCTCGCTCTCACTGTGGACTTTCGCAAAGCATACGACCTCGTCGACAGGCCTTTCCTCCTCCACGCCTTATCAGTTCTGGGACTCCCCACATCCTTCATCCACTGGGTTCGATTAATGCATTCCAACACGTGTACACGTATCTCGGTTAATAACATGCTCGGCCCCACCTTCCCCGTCCGCACTGGTGTCCGTCAGGGCTGCCCACTGGCTCCCCTGCTCTTCGTTTGCGTCATGGAGATCTTTCACCGCTACACGTCCCTCTTCCTTCCTGGCTTCGCCTTGTCCCACGCACAGCTCCGTCTTATGGCGTGCTATGCAGACGACGTCACTCTCTTCCTCACCTCAGATACAGAGCTCGGACTTGCTGTAGTGCTGCTCGGTGTCTTTGGATCGGTCTCCGGAGAAATCCCCAACTGGAGCAAATGCTCCATAATTCCATTCAATATTCCCCCTACTGACCTCGTGCACGCCGGGAGCATACCTATCCGAGCTCCCAATGAGGCAGAACGCATCCTCGGAATTTACGTTGAGCGCCTACACCCTGGCTCCACCACCTGGAACAAGGCTCTCGCCCGCATACAAAGCACCGCCAAGTGTCTAGCAGCACTACACGCCACTGTCACGTGTCGCAAATCCCTCTCCTCGATCTTTCTAAACTCTGTCATCTCCTTTCCCAGACGCTTTCAACCCGCCCCTTCAGACACAATCAAGCGCCTAGACGTGTCAGTTGGGAACTTCCTTTCATCCTCGAAACACAAGCTAGACGGCCTCGCACAACGCCTCATTTCCAAGGCCCTCCTGTACAATTCCCTCCAAGACGGCGGGGTCGGGGCGATTGCCCCGTCTATACAAGTCAAAGCCCTGGCTATTCAGCGCGCCCTGCGCAGATTCGGACCAACCCCCTCTGAGGAAGTAGCACGTACCCTGACCCCGTTCCCCTTCGGGCTACATGGACTACTCTCCCATAAAGCCATCCTCGAACGAGATTGGCTCCCTACATTCATCCCCCCGCGGGCACTGGACGAACTTAAAGCCCTCCTCTCTCTCCCCTTGGTCATTCATAAGCCCCCCCTACGCATGCAGTGCATCCTCACCAAACCTATCGCCTTCAACCGCTTTCTCCTCAGACCCGACGAACGGCCTTTTGGCACCCGCCAACACGAACGCTTCCTTCTTACAAGGCAGCTCCGCATCGGACACCTTGTCCGTATCACCAATTTTGATGTCAGCCCCGTCTCTGCAGACGAGTTTTGCTCCCAAATCCTGGAGGAGTTCCATGAAGACGCAACACGCATCCTCCCAGACCTTATCAAGGCTATCAAACCTCCCTGGTGGGCCGCCCTCCGAACCCCACATGCCTCTTATGCCTCTCCAGGTGAATGGTTCATGCTTTCAGACGACCACTATTCCATCTCTCATCTCGCCCTCCAAGTCGTCGCTTACATTCCCCCTGCCTCCGTTTCGGCCACTGTCCACTCCGTCTCGCCAAATCGTCGCATCGCCCGCAACCCAACAAACACCGGACTCTTCCGTTTACAAGACCTCATCGAGGTGCACGTCAGGGATTGGTGGCTCGCAGGGCCACTTCACACAGGGGCAGGGTTAGGAGCTAGGATTGGACTTCTACAGGACGGCACCCCCAGCATCGCCGACATCCGCCGTCTCCTCTACTCAGCACAACCGCTAACTCACCACAGCCGATGGACCCGCGATCTCACCCTTCCTCCTCCTCCTCTCCCAGGCCTTAAGGACGCATTTCTCAAGGACCAGCCAAGCCGTCAGCGGGACATCCTTTTCAGACTCTTCACGCTCACCCTTCCCTCTGGATCACGCTTCCAGTACTTTGACGATCGAGGGGTTTGCCCTCGATGCCCAGCTGCCGTCGTCGAGACACTGCCACATATATTCTTTGAATGCTCCTCCGCCGGAAACGTCATCTCGGCTCTTCGCACAGTCGCTGACTGCCATCTAGGACAAACCACCACAGCCGAACACATCTTCTTCCCGATACAGTCACGGGTGGGACAGTCCCCCCCATGGAGCCTACTAGTGGGAGCTGCAGTTAAGACACTGTGGAATGCTCGCTGCGACCACAAGTACCGAAACTCCTCCTCCTCGAGCTTCGAGATACTACAGCTGGTATTAGCCCAATTTCTCATCGCTTTCAAAATCTACATTTGGAGAAGCAGACGCCAATCTACCAAGAAGAGACAACGTACATCCTCCAGCATCAAGCGCGCACAAAAACTTCGCTTCCTCCTCTTCGACAGGAGCGGTACACCCTCTATTCACCCCGACCTCAGAGCCTCATGGCTTATGGGAAACCCGTTCCGACCCCCGTAGATGGCTACCTGCATAGAGTGTCTCCCCAGTCTGCTGGTGGTTGTCCTTTAGGACAAAGAAATAACGTGTGTTCCACGTGCTCCTTATAGGATGCTGGCCACTTCGGCCATGTTTCTAGATAGCTCTATGCTACTATTCTTTGTAAATTGATTACGATCAGTATATAACCTTAACCTCGTCGACGGGCAGTTTCGTCGACCAACGCGAACACTTCGTCGTCGACGAATTAATCTGGTCGACAGACGCTTCGTCGAAGAGGCTGTCGCACCCAGATAAAAGTCCCCGAAGTTGCCGATTGCCACGAAACGAACACCGTTCTACTCCGTGAAGCATGGCTGACTTCGCCCTAGCAAGGGCGAGGCTTTTTCTTCTCGAAAGAGGTAAGGAAGTGGAATGACGGGACTGGTAAGATATGGAAATCAGGATCGGTCAGGAGGTGGGATGGCTGAACGGGGAGGAAGAGATATGGCGCAACTGGGAGGTGGGAGATTAGCCTGAGTTAGAGAAGCCGAGCTTGAATGAAATATGTGATGCGGAGACGAGGAGTAAATTCGAAGTTTCTTGTGAGATTTTACGAGAGCAAGTTCTACGAAAGGATGAGGTGTGGTTATGCTTTGCTTCTGGGGCGCTTCGGAAGAGATGCCTCAATTTGAAACAAAACCTACTTGACTAAATTCTTCCAGTACAACAACGTCACGCGACCAACTCCGACGATTCATGAACCACGTATGAGGTTGCTTGCGTGGTTGTACTGTCACCTGCGCTGGAAGTCGAATGAACCTTTCACTCGCCCAGCACTAACGGGGCCAGGAAAAGCTCCAGTGTCGTTTGGACACGTGCGATTCAATACAGGGATAAAGACCAACTAAAGTTCAATAAGGTCGCATATCATTTCACACCATAAATGAGGTAAGTCATTTTGCAAATGGATGTTAGTGCATATGGCAAATACATACTAGCTAGAGGATCTGCATATGAATCCCTATTTGAACTTGTGTAATTGCGCAAACCTGTCTCGCGATGAACCATCACCACATCTTCTGCCAACGTAGCAATTCGATGGCCCGCCAACGCAGCTCCCGTGAGCGACTGCAGTACGCCGCAAAATGGCGGCCAGCCAACATATGCCGCAGAGCGGTCTGCAAGCTTTGCATTCGCAGGTGATTGTCTGCGCATGCATGTGTACCTCCTTTGCAGGTGCTTCTAGACAGTTACGCACGATGGCACTCTCGCGCACATTGCGCAGGTGGCAAGTCGGCCACGTATCGACGGTTGCGCATGTCGAGCCACGTCCACCACGTGCTGACACGTCGGTCAACTTTATTATAACAGCCTCGACGACGTTTGCGCACCCCCACTGAACTTCGTCGAACAGGTAAACCCCTCGACCATATAATGTCCCCGGCGCCCTTTAGGTCGACGACCTTCTTCATCGAGCACCACCTTAGTCGGGGCCTATGTCGCCGTCGTCCACCCTGATCGACGGTGTCACAGTGGTCCCGCGCATGTCGACCAACTTCGTCGACCTGCATGCCCAGGCTCCCGTCGACCTCTGCGGACGGTCGGCTGCACCTCTCCCGCACATACTTGAGATGGTCGGCTGTATACCCCGCACACCCGACCACGAAGTTTGCTTCGCTGAAGCGAGGGCGAGGCCAACTTATGTCACTCACTGCACCTAACCCGCGCTAATTTCAACACCTGGAGCCCCGAGTCGCGTTCTTGTCGTCCAGCCCTCGGGTTGAAATTGGTGGGTGCAGAAAGATTCTGACCAGTTTCAACACCATTTGACGGAATACTCTTTGTTTAAAGTTGGCGCGGGTTAGGTGTACCCTTCTGGTTTTATCTATGACAGCACTCGAACACGTTGTGCCTCATAAACCCCTACTCTCACTCGACCATGCTAAGAGGAAGTAAAGTAACGACAATTTACTGAAGTCGCTCTTCCAGTGGGGCGACGACAACAAGTTCTTCTGTCTGTCATGTAAACCCAGGTCCTTGTTGTGTGTAACGAGGGATGTCGACGGCCGACGTCGACCTGGGTGGTCGACGACCCCACCGAGAAGTACTGGTCAGCGAAGTAGATAATTGAATTCGCTAGACTGCGAAACAATGGTCGGGGTGATAATTGAAGTTGTGACAGGAGATTTTGCAAATGACGCCAATCTTGTCATGGAACCTTGCAATATACTAAGTGTAGTGAAATAATAAGAGCGTGTTCCTACGACCTCATATCAGGCAACCTCATATCAGATTCGCGTCGAACCGCACTAAAATGCAACCAACCATAATCGAACACACCGAAACGTATTTCACCACTCGAAGCTGATACGAGGTGTTTCTGATACGAGGTGTAGGAACACGCTCTAAGAGAAACCTTGTGTTAAAAAACAAGCGGACGTCGAGACGGCACGACGTGCTGCAAAGGCCTAGCCTTGCACAAATTTCCCTACTCGCTCGTTCGATGCAGCATATCTTCCTTCCATATGCGGCGAACTTCACCAAACTTCTCCCGCATGCTTGCAATATGGTACAAATTGTGAATGAACAACCTTAACCTTGTATAAATAATGAACGAACGTCGTAAAAACATCACGTGTCGCACACGCCTATCCTTGCACAATTTTATCTGCACAATCGTTTGAAGCAGCACGTCTCTCTAAACCAGATGAGGCGAGTCATACCAAACTTGTCCTGCATGATTGCAGTGTAGTAAATGTAGTGAATGATGGAAAGTGACCGTACTGAAAAAAAATCACCCAGACGTCGAGACAGTGCCACGTGTCGCACAGGCCGTGCCTTGCAAAGTCTTCCTTGCTTAATCATCTCAAGCAGCATATTGCGGAGAGTCACTCTGCAATGTAATGAACTAGACTACAGGGGGGGAGTTGGCACGGACTACTAGGAGTGATTGTAGCTTTGCTTAGCTCCTTAGCGCTTGCATACTCACTGGAGTATTTGGCAAGAGTTTCATTAGGCAAAGATTGCACTACAGAAAGATAGCAATAACAATGACACAAATGGCTACATCCAGCACCTAGCAACTCTGCAGCTAGCCTGGTCGACCGCCAGCACTGCATGGTCGACCGCCTGCCAGCGTTGCGTAGAGGAGCCGCGCCAGCACTGCAGAAAGGCGACCTGCCAACGCAACAGGTCGACGGCGTGCCAACGCTGCAGCAGTGCGGCTATCCTGCGTTGCACCCGTAGACGGCAGCGGTGCACACGCTCGCAGCTGCGCACAGACGATTGGCCCGACTTGCATCGTTGTGCATCCGTCGGCTGTTGTCTGCGCCTGACGAGGCATGTGAGAGTACGACGGCTTATGCCAGCTATGCTTGCTTGCCTAGACTTTATTATGCTATTTCTAGTATATGTATATATTATCCATGCATGAATCGCTTGATTTCCTAGGCTAGGTGCTTTCCTATATTTTATTATAGTTATAGCACCGAGCTAGGTTGCGTACACCGAATTCTGGGCTTTTCGGTTGCCACAGAAGCAAGAGAAAGAGCGCTAGTTTCATCTAGCTTATCTTAAAAGCAAGCTACCGAATTCGGGAAGGGTCTGTTCGGGACGCTTCGCGACCCGCAGAACCTTCGCGTAACATTTGGTTACTGGGCCTTGTGTCGAGCCTATATATAGCCTCGTGTTGTACCCAGGTGATCATTCAATTCAAACCCACCTTTCCAAGCTCGATCCTAGATCCTCACACTTGGTAATCAGAGCCCGTTTGCCCGCAAAGTTTTTCGACTGCTAAAAACCGAGTCTTCAAAAACCGCGGAGGCGACAACTGTTAAACACCGATTTTGGGTACGTAAAACCGGTTCCGTGTTTTTCACCCCCCCTCGTTTTTGGTTGTGGAACGCGCAATGTTAGGCATCGACGGGCAGGGCGACAACTACGCGACGACGCACGATATCGCCAGCCTTCGCTCCGACGTGGAACAGACGCAGGCGGTAAATCGGCGAATCGAGGCCCTTCTAACACACCAACCGGTAGCTGCCACCGCAGCACTCAATGCAGCAGCGAACGAGCAGCGACAGCAGCGGCAGCAGCGGCAACACCAACATTTCAAAGACGAACCTCGAAACAGCTCGCCCGAGGCTCTCCAAAGCGTTTGATCCAAGTGCGAAGGGATCGGACGTTCGACGATTCGTGGCGACCCTCGAAATTTATTTCGAGGCCATTGGCTGTTCGACCCCGACACACGACGCAGCACGAATTCAGCTCGCAGCAACACTGTTGCGGGGACCAGCACTCGAGTGGATTTATTACACTGACGTGGCCCGCGGGGAGAAAACGTGGATGAAGTTTCGAGCAGACCTTATCGAACGTTTCGAGCCAATTAGTACAACCTACATAGTGCCACAGCAGATACACCGACACAAGCAGTACGGGAGTGTAGCAGAGCAGACGCAGCAGATGGAGTTACTGTTTAACCGCATTAGTGACCTGACCGAGGGCGAAAAAATCCAGGCGTACACAGAAGGGTTAAAAATGGAGATTTGCCGGCAGGTTATCGCAGCAAACTACAGTAGCTACCGCGACATCGTGCGTGCTGCCGAAGGATACGACGCTTTGTCTCGAGGTCAACCCGAAACACAACGTTTCGGGTCAAACCATACATTCGGCACGGAGCGATCGGCACCCCCCACGTTCGCCGAACCGATGGATATCGACAAATTTGGCGCGATGCAGCAACCAACAAAATGTGAATTTTGCGGCGCAGCGGGGCATCAAATTTTGTCGTGCTACAAAATGAAGAAGGCACGTGCGGCAATGCTGGGCGGCAACAGTGGAGCACCCTCGAAGTAAAAAAAATCGGGAATCACCGCGGATTGACTTGGCGATCGCGTAAAGATCCGAAAAGCGAAAAAGGGCGACGACGTGGCGACTTCGGAGCGGGTGAAAAAAGGAGAAAATGATGGCGCGAATATAAAACGTCACGACCGGCCGGCATCAGGGGAAATCGCCGAGGCGAATGGAGGCTCCGCGAAAAA